AACTCCGCCCACTTCGGGGTGTGCCACGCCCAGCGTTCACATTCAACCTCTACTCCTACTTTCACCTCAGGCATATTTTTTTTCAGGTCTCTAAGTCATCTCGGAGCCGAATTATGAGGTCTTGTAAATGGCGTTATGAGTACGAGAGTTCTGGCAACCTCCGCCCACATCCGGGTGTGCCACGCCCAGCGTTCACATTCAACCTCTACTCCTACTTTCACCTCAGGCATATTTTTTTCAGGTCTCTAAGTCATCTCGGAGCCGAATTATGAGGTCTTGTAAATGGCGTTATGAGTCACGAATTTCTGAGGCAGACCCCGCCCACTTTGGTGCATGGTTAGCCCAACAATGGCATTCAACCCTACTCCATACCTCAATACTTATGCACATTTTCCCCGGTCGCCGGAACTTCTAGGAACCGAGTTATGAGAGCGGTGGCAAACTCCGCCCACATCCGGGTGTGCCACGCCCAGCGTTCACATTCAACCTCTACTCCTACTTTCACCTCTGGCGTATTTTTTTCAGGTCTCTAAGTCATCTCGGAGCCGAATTATGAGGTCTTGTAAATGGCGTTATGAGTCACGAATTTCTGAGGCAGACCCCGCCCACTTTGGTGCATGCTTAGCCCAACAATGGCATTCAACCCCTACTCCATACCTCACACTTACGCACATTTTTTTTTTTGTTTGGGGGTGGGTGTGGGTGTGGGGGGTGTGTGGGGGTGGTGTGTTCTTTTTGTTATTATTGCACATTTTCCCCGGTCGCCGGAACTTCTAGGAACCGAGTTATGAGAGCGGTGGCAAACTCCGCCCACATCCGGGTGTGCCACGCCCAGCGTTCACATTCAACCTCTACTCCTACTTTCACCTCTGGCGTATTTTTTTCAGGTCTCTAAGTCATCTCGGAGCCGAATTATGAGGTCTTGTAAATGGCGTTATGAGTCACGAATTTCTGAGGCAGACCCCGCCCACTTTGGTGCATGGTTAGCCCAACAATGGCATTCAACCCTACTCCATACCTCAATACTTATGCACATTTTCCCCGGTCGCCGGAACTTCTAGGAACCGAGTTATGAGAGCGGTGGCAAACTCCGCCCACATCCGGGTGTGCCACGCCCAGCGTTCACATTCAACCTCTACTCCTACTTTCACCTCTGGCGTATTTTTTTCAGGTCTCTAAGTCATCTCGGAGCCGAATTATGAGGTCTTGTAAATGGCGTTATGAGTCACGAATTTCTGAGGCAGACCCCGCCCACTTTGGTGCATGCTTAGCCCAACAATGGCATTCAACCCTACTCCATACCTCAATACTTATGCACATTTTCCCCGGTCGCCGGAACTTCTAGGAACCGAGTTATGAGAGCGGTGGCAAACTCCGCCCACATCCGGGTGTGCCACGCCCAGCGTTCACATTCAACCTCTACTCCTACTTTCACCTCTGGCGTATTTTTTTCAGGTCTCTAAGTCATCTCGGAGCCGAATTATGAGGTCTTGTAAATGGCGTTATGAGTCACGAATTTCTGAGGCAGACCCCGCCCACTTTGGTGCATGCTTAGCCCAACAATGGCATTCAACCCTACTCCATACCTCAATACTTATGCACATTTTCCCCGGTCGCCGGAACTTCTAGGAACCGAGTTATGAGAGCGGTGGCAAACTCCGCCCACATCCGGGTGTGCCCACGCCCAGCGTTCACATTCAACCTCTACTCCTACTTTCACCTCTGGCGTATTTTTTTTTCAGGTCTCTAAGTCATCTCGGAGCCGAATTATGAGGTCTTGTAAATGGCGTTATGAGTCACGAATTTCTGAGGCAGACCCCGCCCACTTTGGTGCATGCTTAGCCCAACAATGGCATTCAACCCTACTCCATACCTCAATACTTATGCACATTTTCCCCGGTCGCCGGAACTTCTAGGAACCGAGTTATGAGAGCGGTGGCAAACTCCGCCCACATCCGGGTGTGCCACGCCCAGCGTTCACATTCAACCTCTACTCCTACTTTCACCTCTGGCATATTTTTTTCAGGTCTCTAAGTCATCTCGGAGCCGAATTATGAGGTCTTGTAAATGGCGTTATGAGTCACGAATTTCTGAGGCAGACCCCGCCCACTTTGGTGCATGGTTAGCCCAACAATGGCATTCAACCCTACTCCATACCTCAATACTTATGCACATTTTCCCCGGTCGCCGGAACTTCTAGGAACCGAGTTATGAGAGCGGTGGCAAACTCCGCCCACATCCGGGTGTGCCACGCCCAGCGTTCACATTCAACCTCTACTCCTACTTTCACCTCTGGCATATTTTTTTCAGGTCTCTAAGTCATCTCGGAGCCGAATTATGAGGTCTTGTAAATGGCGTTATGAGTCACGAATTTCTGAGGCAGACCCCGCCCACTTTGGTGCATGGCTTAGCCCAACAATGGCATTCAACCCTACTCCATACCTCAATACTTATGCACATTTTCCCCGGTCGCCGGAACTTCTAGGAACCGAGTTATGAGAGCGGTGGCAAACTCCGCCCACATCCGGGTGTGCCACGCCCAGCGTTCACATTCAACCTCTACTCCTACTTTCACCTCTGGCGTATTTTTTTCAGGTCTCTAAGTCATCTCGGAGCCGAATTATGAGGTCTTGTAAATGGCGTTATGAGTCACGAATTTCTGAGGCAGACCCCGCCCACTTTGGTGCATGCTTAGCCCAACAATGGCATTCAACCCTACTCCATACCTCAATACTTATGCACATTTTCCCCGGTCGCCGGAACTTCTAGGAACCGAGTTATGAGAGCGGTGGCAAACTCCGCCCACATCCGGGTGTGCCACGCCCAGCGTTCACATTCAACCTCTACTCCTACTTTCACCTCTGGCGTATTTTTTTTCAGGTCTCTAAGTCATCTCGGAGCCGAATTATGAGGTCTTGTAGGGGACGAAATCGAGCAACGTATCGTTGTGGTAAACCCCGCCCACTTCGTTACATGCCTCGCTCACCGATACCAAATGACTATCATCTCTTCCCCAACCTCATTCTACTATTTTCCCATCTCCGGAACTTATTGGATCCGAGTTATGAAGTACCGTGGCAAACTCCGCCCACTTTAATGCATGCTCCACCTGCCCACAGCACTTGACCCCCTTCCCTCTGCCAACACTTATACGCTTTTCCCCACACCCCGGGACTCATAGGAACCGAGTTATGAGGCTGGTTGCAAACTCCGCCCACTTTGGTGTAAGCTACGCCCAGCCTTGACATTTAGCTTCTCCTCTTCTCCTAACCTGTATCCACTGTTTTCAGGTTTCCAAGTCATCTCAGAGCCGATTTATGAGCTCTTGTAGAAAACGTCGTCTACTTCAGGACACGCTCCGCCCATTGTGGGCGGACCTCCGTTCACATCATGTGTGCTGGAAATACCTTAGACATCGCTGCCCTGCACTAATTTCTTTTCTGCTCTGTAGGCTTCCTCCTAACCTAGTTATTGATATTTTTATTGAGCACCGCTTTTCCAGAGAACGCCCCGCCCACCGAGGGTGGGTCTCCCCAATGCAATCTGGCTTACCGACGCACATTTATAACCACTTTTTGTTCCAGTCTCGAGGCTGTTTTTGACTGTATTTGGAATCAACCGATGCACGCCACGCCCACTGTGGGCGGGGCTCCGCTTGGCTGATGTGTGTTTTTTACTTCTAGGGATATGGTATACCCATCCCAAACTTGACCTGGACCCTGTAGGTTGTTGTTCGCTTGATACCGAATTTCGTGACAGACGGACAGACAGACATAGCGCATTATATATAGTAGGGATTACTTCATTTGTCCACTCTGAACGGGTTTTTGTCGGATTATTTTCGACTAGATTTCGAGTTTCCAATAAGGTGCATCCCCGAACGGAAATCAGAACACTTTCGATCAAGAAATTTACAAAGTAGCGGTTTTTCCCTCTTATTTTCTTGATTTTTTTTTTCGCTTTACTGAAACTACCCCACATATAACTTACTGCACTGCCTCCTATTGCCATTTTTGACTCTTCATCGACAGACAGTTGCTGAAAAGCGATACACCGACACCTTCTTCTTCGCCTTGAATTCTCCCTTTTTAAGCAATTGGCATCACCGAGTGGCATACATGTTGTGACAATTGCGCCAATTTTTCTGATGATGGCTATCTTTTATAAAAATAGGGAACTTTTAGTTTTTCGAAAACAGTGTCGAATAGTCGAACTCACGACTCCCAATGCACCATCACTAGAGACAGTTAAATTTTTACATCTTTTCAGGTCACACTTGCTGTCTTTCCCGTAGGCTTACGCCGTCGACTGATATAGCTTTTTTGTTATACCCCTTAAATCCTGGCTTGCGATTCGATCCTTGGAAACGTTCTCTCCTCCCAGAGAGGAAGTAGGACCCCAATCACAGAAGTGGTGATAATGCCCGACGTGGAACTCTATGACAAGGAAGCTAATGCCTTCGCCTGATCGTTGCTACCACTGCCATCCTTATCAATCGCGGAATACGTGACGTTTGCACCCTCTCGCCTACGACATGCTCTTTCGCGCTTTTCCTGTTTTCGCAGCGCTATTTCTCCCCTTCATAACAACGCTTCCCCCTCCCCCATAGGAGGTTCACTGTTTTCTACAGCGCTGTTTGCTGTTTCTCCGCGCTCACGTTCCTCATCGCCCTCTTGTCTAATTTCGAAAAAAAAAACACCATTTAGATGCCGATTCGTGCCTTAAAATGCTTACTTCGAGTATCGATTTTGTAGTTCATTTGGTAATAGAGGTCAGTCTACGCCAAGCTGCTTTCATAAACACCACTCCTCCGATAGTGCAGTCCATTGAAATCCCAAGAATGTACAATTGTACCTTAAATCTTCTGTGTTTTTGCAAGTAAGATCCTTTGAGATTTCAGCGTTGCTTTCCTTTGCATAATCAGCTCTCAAGTTTCTTACAATCGTTTTCAGTTATGTATGCCAATTTCTAGTTACCTGCTTTTCAGTTAGTATGTTGTGATGCTTCCAATCACTGCCTTCCTCGTCATTGTGCGAACCGGATGCGCTTTTCTATTCAATTCACCAACCGACATTGCTCATTGCTACGAGTTGGATCTTGAAAATTGCTTCCGTGAAGCATTTCTGGTTAGTTGAACTTCAAAACCCTTTTCATAGATTTGAGATCGCAGTAAAGCTTCAGGCAGCGATACACCCTCCAATTCGAGGACGGCGAGCAGCTCCTCTCTTTCACTCGGCCAACATCACCGTGCTAGACAAGCGGAAAAGCGGTGAGTTTCCATTTCAAAATGATAAAGTCTTCTTACTATTCAAATCTTTTAGTATGTGCCAAGGATGAGTTTCATCCAAACCATTTAGTACATGCAACGTCAATCCAATTTTAAAGGAATCCTTCGCGGAAAATTCTTGCATTCTTTCTCAACATGAATGTATCAGTTGTGATCACTAGATGCAGCACACAAAGTTTCACGCATGAAGGTTCGGTTTCCGAAGAGAAACAAACTACGAAAATCCATTATACAGGGGTGGCCAAAAAAAAGAGACACTTTGCCCATGGCGCACATCATCGAACTTTTCGTCGCACAGGGAGCCGATGTTAATGAAAGTTTTACGGCGGAATATTCCTTAGGTGTTCCCCCGTAAACAGAAGCAGGCCCTCCTTCACTGCCCCCGCCGTCTTCAGAATATGACGTCATCTGCCGTCACCGTCGAGCTCAACGAGGCTTACCGTAATCGCTCCGGCCTGAAGCTGCTACATAATTTCTTCAATGGATTAACTGTGAATAGCTTCCCAGAGACATTAGCTGTGACTATGCAAAACCGCTTTTGACCAGCGTTTCAGGGACGTCGTAATGGTCTATGGTACCTCGACGACCTCGTTGAGCTCGTACCGTGAACCATGTTTCCGTGGGAAAATCTTCTGATGTCGTCGGTGTAGAAGGCTGTTGTGTAGCTTGTTGATAGATTATAACGTGCTCTTCAATATTCAGTTGGGTCATTTGGTTTGGTTTCGCAACGCGTAAATAATTCCGTTTTGAATGTGAGTGAAGTGTCTCTTTTTTTTGGCCACCCCTGTATAGACAATCGAAGGTAATTCGGGCGGAGCCAAAGGCGGGCATGGAAAGAAGTCCGCTTGGGGCGGCTACGTATCAGGCGACGCAATGAAAGAATCGGGTTAAAGCGCGCGATTTCGGAGAGTAGAGACAAATCGATCGATAGAATAGGATGGAGTAGAAGTGTAAGATGTGAATGCAATAAAGAAGGCCAGAAAGAGTTTCTAGTGAAGGCACTCCAAGAACCAAGTGGAAGCATCCCCGTCGCCAGCATTTGTGAAAGACGTCCGTGGGCACTTTGAACGCGTAGCAGCCCTTTCGTTTTTTCGAATTTTTTACCAAAACAAATGCAATTTTTCTGTTCTTTTCATTCTTATCGTGGATAATGGGTCTCAAGCAAGAGAATTAAAGGATTCCTTCAATTGTTGTAATGGCCTACAAGACTTCTGTCAACCAAGGGGTGGGAGTGTAGATGGAAAAGTTTACGCTCAGGGGAGTACTAGGGTTAAGTTTTGGAGGAAATAAAGAACGCAGAGGCGTTGGAATAGTATGCAAATGTGAGAAATCACAGACAGCATCACAGAACTCCTGAGGCCGTGTACACCGGTAGATCACGTAGTTCCTGACATAAACAGCAAAGTGGGATCAAGTTGGTGGAGTAACAGTGCTCGATAATAAAGGTGGGGATGCGAGATGAATCAAAAACGCAGAAAAAAAAGCAAACAAGCAGCTGATGAGATCCTGCCGAAGAACCCACTTCTTTCTGCAGCGTAGAGAAATGGGATTAGGGAAGGGCGTTTCCACGCGAGTTTTCTGAACCTCCTGACTCCAATTCAGCGTTCCATGAGGTAGTAAACATACCCTAGGCAGCTACTTTTCCAGACTTTGCAATACCTCACAATCCACGATCATAATTACTTGGATTGCGTGACATCGACTCCCTTTGCCTTCTAAGGGATCAGTGCATCTCGTCCATTTGGTTTTTTGTGGGAGGGGGGGAGAGGAGGAGGCTGATCTCTCCATCGCGTCATGGTGGACCTTACAAAACGTTTGAGCTTGTACTTCTTACGATTTTTTGACTTTCTTCTTCACCTTCAGTCCTACGCTCCACCTTCATATTATGATTGAGCGCTCTACCACATCTACTTTATCGTGAGTGACTTTGAGACACAGAACCGTCTTGCTGAGATATTTTGAAAACGACGACAAATTTCAAATGAAGTCTACCCACTAGAGGAACATAATATGTCTTCTTGGAGTGAATTCAAAATGTATTTGTTGGAAACTGCTATTTGAAAGAGGACATTGTCCTTTTCCAGTCACTATAATACAAAACTTTCAAAGAAGTAAATACATTTTCTTTCACCCTTAACGCTACGAATAACGGAAATATGATCAAAAGGGGCACCGAAAAGGTACATTCTTGGGCAGGGACTTACCTAAGGAGAGGGAAACTTCCCTAGAGCCGTGATAATTCAGTTGGCAGGATAACTGAACAATTTCCATGGAACATCTTAATCATGAATTTTGATCTCTCATCGTATTAATAATCATTTCGTTTGTGTTGAGAGGGTTTGTGTTGGGACTACTTGAACTATCGGCAGTATTTGCCTTTTATTGCCCCGCCTTAAAATCTGCACATTATTTTCGTGATTTATCCTGACTAAGGAGCTGGCTAAAAAGCTGTCTCTGAGAGAATTCCAACCCGAGGAATACGAATATCACATGCGTTTAGCGCGAAAACGTCTGGCGTTCGTGCCACAGACGCCGGCGGTATCAGTTTGATTTTGCACCGGTGGCACCTTCTCGCGCGAGCGCTCGAGGACAACCTCCTTTCTTGCCAAACTTACGGCCAAAAAAAAATTTCAATAAAAATCCTCAGTTTTCGAGCAGTGGGGCATTAAAGGAGAGATAGTGTTGAGCTTTGTTCTATGGTCCTACAATTGAAGTTAGAGGACGCCTAGCTCGACTCCTAAATCCCAAGCAGGAATGGTGTGAGCCATAAGGCTAAGCCTTGGAGAAGGAGGGACTCTGGGACGGGTGAGCTAAATAAATACAGTGTGGCTAAAGTTTGAATGTGTGAGATACAGTAGTCATGAGCCATTGTTTAGGCGAGAGGGCGCAGGTGAGAGCATCAAAATGAGGCGGTTCAACGAAGCGAGTTCAAGAACCTTTTTGGCTCCGTTCGCCACTCTCAAGGCCTCAGTTGAAGGGGCTGCGTACGTATGATCCGCCATGCGCGGTAACGCACTGGCATGAAAGGGTGTCCTGTTAGAAAGTATCGCTCTACATCTTTGGAATCTTATCGCCAAAGTTTTGTGAGAAGGTACGGTAATGGGAGATGGGGAGTGGCCTGGAACGGTTATTTCTACAGCTGCTGCACAAAGATTCACTGGGGCAGTGTAATCCACAGGAATGCTAAGTTATGGACAAAATCTTGACCTACAGCGGGATTTCAGTTAGACCGTTTATGTACGCTCTGGCAACTACATAAAGGCTATTTGGTAAAATGGCGCCCTTATAGTACAGTGGTAGACAATTGCTTGATAAGCAAGAGATGCTGGTTCGAATTTCGCCTGGAGCCAAGGCTTTGCCTATAACTCCGCAATCTTATAGGACTTCTGCAACGCGGACTGCGGCAATAAACCAAAAGTCAAGAAAGGGTGAATGCCCTAGGACAAAGCCTTGGAGAGGAGAGGGACCCACGGGAGTGCAGAGGCGGTTTAAAGGAGCTGAGTTCGGGCAGTCCGTTGACCTATCAAGCGGTAAAATTTGGAGAAGAATGAGTTTCACAATAAAATAAAAAATTACAGCTTCTGATATATGCATATTGCTATATGCTTTTGTATTGATGACGGCTCTCTTCATATGTGATTTTGAATTTGTTCCAGTCGGAATGGCTCGAATTCTGTGAAAGGTAGCATTTCCATAGAAAGAGATAATTGTAGAGTATGGGGTATATCGTGTCGTTTGGGGTTGCTCTACAATAGTCGAGTGACGAAGTTACGCCAGAGGGGCAGCCTAGAAACCATGAATCCATGCTCTGGTCTCACAAGGTTGGAATTCCGCTCTCACCTGGCTTGCCGGTTCCACGAGGGCTGTCGGTATACTCGTGTCTCGAAGTTCCGGCAAGCTCCTATGACCCCTTTTGTGGCGCTAAGGGCACCATTGCCGACTGGTGTGGGTGTCTGCCGGAATTCCACTTGTTGTGGCTAGGGCGTTCCTCTGTCTCCGTCTCTGCTTTATTACTTCTTACCATTGACTTTTTTTCCTCTACGATGGCTGTTTCCCACTATGATAGCGGTTAGATGGTACGACTCCGATCCTCTTGTCTATTTATTTAGTATTTATTCAATGTTGATTAGTATTTGCTTGATAATTGATTTTCTTCATCTACCCCGTGTGTAAGAGCGCGTCATTGGGGCGCATAAATAAACAAAATTAATAAATATCCTAGCTCGTAATTTCATTGTTGCTCACGACTGCCCCGAAACGGAACAATGATAAATCCGTCGCTGATGGCCACTACTGATCCTTTCAAATCAAATTTGAGTTTATATGTGGAGAGAAAACTTTGATCTTCAGACACGGCAAATCTGATGTTGTGCCACGATGTGCGCAGGTTCTCGCTGTGCTTCCATTACCCGGGTTGTTCGGAGCAAGTTGCAGCTGCGGTAGGTTTCACAGTAGAAAACCGTCAATGCAAATGTGTTCATAGTCCTATGTTTTCGTTCCAGATCGCTTCCGTGCAGTACCACATGGTATTTGGAAAGAAACTACCACTTCATGTCTTCCTTGCTTATAAAGGTTACGGTAGACAGGTGAGGATTTGAGATGTTTCAACAGCACAGTCTCACCTAACCTTATCTCCTCCGATCCTGCAAGGAGCAAGGAAATCTGTACGGGTGAGGGAGGGGGGTTGAACGTCCGCTCGCGCTGTTCGGAGGGGATAGTATAACATTTGCAATTTCGGGAGGGGTAGGCGGTCGTTTTGGGGTAGAGCAAGGATAATTAGCCTCGGAAAAAAACAGATGAGGGTCGTATTTGTGAAAGAAGGTAGTGATTGTGGAAGGGGGTCGCCTATGAGGGGATAGTTTTATGAGTTTGGGTGAAAACTTCATGAAGCACGCGAAAAAGATTAAATTAGGATTTGCTATTCATTATAACATATATTCCCTTCCTTCTGTGGTCAAGTAGGGGAAAAGGGTCGTATTGGCAGGAGTCTCCTGTGGGTTATGGTGTGGTGGGGGTATATAGACGCCCTCCCCTTCCGAACCCCCCCCCCCCAAGACGGAGGGGGTCGTAAAATTCGTTGGAAAAGTGCAAACGCGGCGGTAGACCCTGGGTGGGAGGAGTAGGAATTTTGTTAAAAAGAAATTGAGCTAAGGTGTTCCCAGAACAAAATAGGCGTATCAAAGTGGATAACGTATAAAGCGACCACAGCTAACTGTACCATTGTCCACGTCGCGTCATGCATCTGACCCCCACGGAAAGTCGTAGAGATTCCCGTGTACATTATCGTTTGCTTGCTACATACCCAAAGAAATCCGCGCCATAATCGAGAGGCTATAAGTTGTCTTTAAAAAATCGTGATTCAATGGGTCTTTTACTACATTTTTTCATGATTGCGTATACTTGTTTATTTTTACCCAAATCGTATATGACAGTATCGAACTCGCGAAAACAAAATGTGTGGAGCTACTAGAGCTTAAGGATGCGCTTGAATGGCCTGGGTCTTTGCGCCCATCACGGCGCATCCATTCAAACCCTCACTCTGTAATTTCATAATACAAGCGCTTCTCGAAAAAAAAGTTGATTCAACAAATATGCAGGAAAATAGTTTTGATAATAGAGCAATTTCAGATGTGCGAACAAACGTGCAATCGAGACGCGATGTTGGTCTGTCGAAGGACTATGACGGACGATGACCTTCAACAAGAACAGGTGAGAAATGAATCAAATAGAAGAAGAGGGATACATCGAATTCTATCACTTATTTCACCGTCATCCTCACCTTCATCGGAGCTCCTTCGGAGAAAAAACCTCTTGATGGACAGGGATACATAATATTCAAATACCAAAACTACCAAATACCAAAAAATTCACGAATTCCCTTGGAAATCTGAAATCGCTACTCATTTGTCATTCACACCACACACCCTTCATTGACGTACGGTGGACCATTCTGGCAACTATCCTAATGCGACCCTCATCTGAGAATCAACCCCTGCTCGACCCTTGCAAGCAGAGTGAATAACAGTCCAAGAATTCCTCGATCATGATTCTCTACTATGCGAGAGAGTGAATATACAAGCGAACAACTCGGCTGGCGAGATTGAATGTGCGCGCAGGAGAGCGCGACCGAACAGGCCAAAATCCTCGACGAGCCGTTGCCATTTCCTCGACCAATGTTTATCCTGCTTGTCAGACAGTGCGGCATCTGTGACTCTACTTGTCCAGCGAGCACGGCCCCAGTTGCAAAGCAACGATTTTCACGAAAATGTGTGAATTTGGAACTAGTTCGAAGAACTAGCCTGCAAGATTACGAGAAAGGCCTGGAGCGTCTGATTTGGACAACCTTTTCTACGATGCGCTACGCTTTTCAGTTCCGTTCAGAACCGTATGAACCAGGTTTCAAGATTAAGGTAACTCGAAAGAGCACTGAATAATAAAGGTAGAGGTGCGGAACGGACTGAAGGTGAAAAAGAAAGCTAAAGAAACCAGTGTAGTTACTGAAATCGCGGGCATAGGCTTTTAAAGGCTCGGCTGTTGTGCGATGAAGAAGCACGGCGCAGAGAAGTCAGTGTACGTGGGAGACATCTTCTGCGATAACACAAATATACATATGTGGCCACCGCTTGGCGGACGAAAGAGTACCACTCACGCCCACTGGTTTCGAATATTAACAAAGTCCTAGCCCTTTGTTGCCCACTTTAGTGTGTGAACGACCCATTTGTATAATTCGCAATTCCTCTATTTTGGCCACTAATCTCTTCAATTGTCTAACCGGTCGTAGTCTTAGAGAGGTAGTTATGTATCAGAACAGTTACCACCGTTCCACAAACAAGTCCTGTATCGACTAAACAACTCTAAAGAATTAAAGCAACACCCCCAGCAGAAGTCGTGTCGAAGAATCTCTTCAGTGGGTGGGATAGAGTCAGCCCATGAGTATCACAGATGTGTCGTTGTTGCGTATCGAAAGAGCGCGGCAGTTGCGCTAGGGTCTTACAAAATAAACTTATGGCGACTGATCTTAATGTATGACGCGTTACGTGGCGCACACCAAAAACACACAGGTTAGTTGAGCCCTGAAGCAGGCAAGTTCGTACAAGTCGTCTAGCTACGCCCCCTTATTTACTTTGAGGATGATAATTGTTTGGGGCTTAATCGACGGTTTTGTGTTCCTCTTTTTATTTTTTCAACTGG